TCTTCTTCTTCTTCTTCTTCTTCTTCTTCTTCTTCAGAGAGAGAATTGAGAGACAGAGAGGCAGAGGGAAAAGGAGAAAGACTCTTAAGCAGACTCCATGAGGGGCTCAATATCATGACTGTGTGATTGTGACCTGAGCCAAAATCTGGAGTCAGATGCTTAACTGACTGAGGCCATCCAGGTGCCCCCCAGACTCTTTTCTAATGATCACACAAATTTGTGTAATTCTGGAATCCGTTAAGTGGAAGAGACCTTTGTGGTAAATTGTCTCTACAGTGTTTCTAATTAATAATTAATTAGTACTCAATTCTCTACCCCACATCTTTCAAAATAGAGTTACAAACTTAGCAGACAGTATTATGGGGAGATCCAGGATATTTGGGTAGTTTAAGGTCTAGGTACAGTCTATACGTCATGCTTGGCGGATGTCCACATATATCTTCTGCCCTTTGTATATTTTCCTCAACTTCTTGTTTCGTGCAACAAGCCACTCTTAGCATCCTAAATCAACCCTGTGACTATTCCCAGGCCAGCCTTAAGCAGGAAAGAGAACTTGGCACATGTCTCCACCCAACAGAGATACCCTCACTGTGATGTTTGGACATTCTACCCAGAGGTTAGGAATTGAGCCCAAGTTAACTGAGATGATAACAGCTGATGAGTCTCCCGGCTGGGGTTTATACACAAATCAGGGGGGATGTCGAACCCTGTACTCATTTTGCTACAACATGGTACTTCTTTCTTAAAATCTCAGACTTGAAATTCCGTGATTCTCTAAGGATGACGTTGCAGGCATCAGGAGTGGCCATTGGGGAGCTACTTGAATTTGGGATGTCTAGTCTTTGCCTGACTTCTCTCCAACACCAGCCAGCAAGCATCTCGGCCTTTTTGCAGCACCATCGTATCCCCAGCTACTGAGTCATCCGACTAATTTCTGATCCAAAGATTTTTTTTTTTTTTCCGTAAGTGCTTTAGTACATTGCTCACTAGCATAAGAAAGAAAGCTCTAAGTACCATTTAAGGATGTAAATGACAAATCAGTTGGAATTAGAGTAACACAACCCCTCTCCCTGCCTAGAAGCTTCCTTCAGCAGAAGTGAGGGAGTAGCTTGAACCCTCCAAAGAGATGCCCTCTGCAGGCTCCCACTGCAAGGAGGAAAAAAACTGCCTGGGCACTAAGACTGCACCCCTGATGGAAGTCCATATCTCCCTCAGGAGTCAGATAGGAGCTTAGCAATCTGTATGCTCTTGCCAAGATCCTCACTACCAACCTTAGCACTCAAGGTGGCTCCACCCTACCCCACCTTGGGGACAATCAGGACTAATGTGACTGTGCCTTTTATGACAAAACTTCCAAGTCATTCCTCATTTCCCACGCTCAAACCCCACTATACCTTGTATATCACCTTTTTTGGATCCCAGTTCCTACTCTTTTCCATATTCTACAACATTTTTTATTATGTCCTTTTTAAAAAAAAATTCATTTTTGAGAGAGAGAAAAAGTCTGAGCAGGGGAGGGGCAGAAAGAGAGGGAGACAGAAGATCCCAAGCAGGCTCCACACTGTCAGCACAGAGCCCGATGGGGGCTTGAACTCACAAACCGATGAGATCATGACTTGGACCAAAATCAAGAGTTGGAGGCTTAACCAACTAAGCCCCTATTATGTTGTTTGATACTCAAGGTGAGTCATCAGCAAAATCCCCTGCACCCTCAACCTCTTCTCTGAGTATTCTCTTTGCGCCCTTGCTCTAAAGGAAGCTTACCCCTACTTTGAAGTTGCCACTGTCCCTGAAACTCTTCCTTGTGCCTTTTTGTTGCTTATGGAGCATTTATTTTTCAACTATTTTTGAGGGGGGTGTATATTATTAGTGAAAATAATCTTAGATGCAAGTGAACGTAAAACCAATTCAAACGAGATGTATTAAACACATGAATTAAAGAGAGGGTCACAAAACCCCAGTAAAGGTCATGCTAAAATGTGGGGACATTCAGAATAGCCAGAATAATGGCCTTTTAAAAAATGATATTGATTTGGTACTTTGAAAAAAATTTTTTTAATGTTTATTTATTTTTGAGAGAGAGAGAGAGAGAGAGAGAGAAAGAATGAGAGCAGGGGAGGAGCAGAGAGAGAGGGAGACCCAGAATCCGAAGCAGGCTCCAGGTTCTGAGCTGTCAGCACAGAGCCCGACGCGGGGCTCAAACTTGTGAACCACGAGAGATCATGACCTGAGCAGAAGTCGGACGCTTGACCGACTGAGCCACCCAGACAGCCCCGAGTTGGTACTGTGGATGCTAGGTCTCGCTAAGGACCCACCCCTTACTCCCTGCTTTTGGGTTCATCAGGTGCTCTGTGTCATTTCCCCTCACTCATCAAAGACAGTAACTCCTGCTCACTTCCCTCTATTCAGCCCTGCTCCTTCATAATACTTGTCAGTTTCAATATCCCTGAAGATGATCTTTCCAGCCCTTTCCAGGCACCATCCCCCATCAGCTGTTTACTTGCCTGTCTTTTTCTTACCAATAACTGTGACCTACCTTAAATCTAAATCCTAAAAATTTCACTCTAACAACGACCTTCTATATTTCCAGTGCACTTCCTGTAGTAGCTTAGTTCCCATAACCGCCCACACCACCCAAGAAATGTTATCCGTGGATCCTCCCATCTTTCCGCACTCTCCCATCCCTTTTCTTCTTCACCACCACCCACTTTGCCAATCTTAATTTTCGTGGCTCATCATTATACTTCTGAAATCATTCTTACCTGCCTCCGGTCTCTCACGTTTCATTGTAATTTCTCTGTTAGTCCAGGAATTCTAGTTAAGTCCAATCCTTTACCAGCTCTTACCTTCTTGCCCACAACTGAACACAACAAGAGAAAGACACACAACCACGCTGACTGATTTCACTTTAAATTCATGCCTCCTGCCCTTAAATGGTCCACAACGCTGTGCTGGAATTCGAACATACCCGGGCTCTTTCCTCTTAGACAATAATTTCATACTTTCCCTCTGTCCAAAAATATTCAACCCTTTCTCTACACTCCATATGCACATGATTATCTAGTTTCCTGTTTCACTGAAGAAAATGAAGCCATCTGAAGAGGTCTACAGACTCCATTTTTACCACCTGCCTCCCTCTGTGGCGATACATTCCCTGCTTTCCTG